CTTAACAGAGATTATAACATATGGACCATGTATTTTTTGTCCTGGAACATAAGTAAAACACCATATATTAGGAAGTTTCAAAATATCCTTAGTTGTTGTCAACTTTTTCAAGAAAACAGAGTCCTCCACTCAGGAACTCAGAAAAGTGTTAAATATCATTGCTAGAAATTATAAACACTTTTTTTTTTGTTCTAATCAGCTTTCAAGTTAAACAATTTCAATTTTCCTTCTTCGTTAATCGGCCGGCTAAAAATGCATTTATGATGATATTAAATAGAAAAAAAAAACATGATATAACCAACGATCTGCTAATTAAAAATACGCACCTGTATAAACATATGAGATTTTAGGGCAGACCTGTTCAAAAACTAGTTTATCCTCACATCTATCTTTTTCACAGCGAAAACAAACTTTAACCTATTTCAATTATCAAGCCACGCAATGGTTAATTAAAGAAGGTGTATTCATCCCAAATAATTATTTAATACTAGACTATAATCCGGGCTCTTTTTAGGTATCTGCATTTTAAATGTATATATATTATTTTATAATTATACGTTGTGAATCCTTGTAAAATCTGGTATATTTCATTTCTCTGAGTGTCTTATGCAACTATAATTTTTCCTTAATGGTAGCATATCGTATTTGTTGCTCATACATATTATGCACAGTACAGTCTTTGCCATAATGTTTTGCATGCTGTTCTATCTATTGATGTTATTGTTTACATGCATGGAATAATTATTGAGTAAATGCCCGAGCAGTACGAGTTGTTATTCTGGTCTGTATAAGTTGTTTTGAGCATTTGTTCGTCAAAACACGCATACAAACCTTCATATGTACACAGTGCTTTGTTTAGACAATTTATGTGTACCTGATGTGGAGTCATGCCTCGTCACGTACCAGAAGTTATAGGATATGAAGAAAACGGACATCGCCAGAACAGTAGAATATCCCCAGTATACTATATCCAGAATCCTGAAACGTCATCGAACTACAGGAAACGTTGTTCTGAGAAAGTCTACTGCCCGAGATGACCATCTTTTGGTCAGGTTAACACGTCAATGTCAAAAGAAGTCTTGCAACACCTAACGACAGGAATGGCATAAACACATTAATTCCAGGGTATCCAGAGAAAAATTTAATAGGATCTGACCAAACAAGTATATTTTGCAAGAGGGGCTATCTGCCAATCGATATTAACCAGAATTAACCGTCGTCACCGTGTTACGTGGGCAAGACAGCATGCTAACTTAAAGTTAGGACCCTGGCAACATGTTATATTTTCAGATGAGTCCTGTTTCAAGCTTATCAAAGCTGGTGGTAGGATTTGTATTCGTCGTTTGCCTGGAAAAGAGATGAGAGAAGACTGTCTTTCCCACAGGGAACACACAGGAGGTGATGCAGTACATATTTGGGCAGCTACTCATCATGGTCGAAAACCATTCTTCATATCCTCCAGGTAAACGTCAATGGTGCCTCCTACAGGCATCATATGGAGACGATATTTCTACCGTATGCTAGGGCAAGGCTTGGCAATAACTTTGTGTTCCAGGATGACAATGCCACTGCCCACAGTGCGCATATTGTACAGGATTATCTTGAACAGAAGGACGTTACAAGATTACCATGGCCAGCAAAGTCTGTAGCTGAATTGCAGCGCCTTTTAGTGACAAGTTAAGACGAAATCACGGTGGATTACATTAATAACCTCATCGCCAGATGTTATATTTTGTCATTATGTATGTTTGGGTAAGGTTTTGTTGTGATAGGTGAAATGCTGAATTACACATTTTTCTATAGGTGTCTGATAAAATTGTTCGCTGTTCACATAAGTCGTTCATGGTGTCCATAGAGTCTGTCATATTATACAAATTACATATGTAGACGTTTAATATTACATGCATTTCTCAGTTTGACAGCGCTAAGTGTATTTGTATCCTAATAATCACGATCTTATTTCTTGCAAAATATGCAAACATTTTGGCCATGACTGTACATTCCAGATGCATGCTCTTAAATGTGTTTTGATGTGTGTTTGATTTTGTTGTTTTTTTAGCTACATAATGGACTATCTGGGCTCTGTTCACCGTGAAGAATCGAACTCCAGATTTAAACGTTGCAACTCTGTGAACTTACCGCTGACCCATCGGGGGATTTGTTTTGGTGACCTTTCTTATCAACAAATCCATCATACAATTCTCAACTATAAAACAGCCGTGATCACAAGCTTATCTAAAAAAATAATCTTTACTTGTATGTCTTATCAAAGAAGTTATAATGTTATTGTACAGGTCATTGGCCAGGCCACATTTGTAGTACTGTGTTCAGTTTTGGATTCCCTACGTTAGAAAAGACAATGAATTGTTAGAAAGGGTTCAGAGGAGGGCTAGTAGGATGTAAAGGTTGTCACACAAGGATGGGTTAAGATATCTGAATTTATGTTCTTATAAAAAAAAGAAGAATTAGAGAGTATTTGATTGAGAAGTTTGAGATTGTTAGGGGAATTGGTGGTGTTGATACATCATCTTTTTTCGTACTTAATGGTTAGAATGGTAGGACTAGGGGATACAAATATATATTTTGGCAGGGTAGGAGGCATTTTCAGCTAAGTCAGTTTTTCGTTGTTTTTATTTATTTATTTTTTGACAGGGTGGTTGGTCTGTGGAACGGATTGCCTTTTGATGTAGTGAATGCATTTAATTTAAGAATTTTCTTCAATTAATTTGTTGAAAAGTAATGGGCCAAGACACTATACAGCCAGTCTGATACCGTGCACTACTTTACAAGAGTGGAGGACACCATTACAGTGGCATATTCGTATTCATACGCCAAGTGATTGTCAAAACTTGAAAAGTAGATCCGAAACTACTTTATCTTGTACACAGGAAAGTGACGCATACAACAACTAAGAACGTGATAGGGATATACGCATAACAAGAAAACGGAAGGGTGGAGAGGTGAAAAGGAATTTATTTCTCCTAATTCAGCCACATGTACTGTAAACAATTTGGGGCATGAGGTTTTAAATAAATATATTTTATATCTCTTGAATCACGGGCAACGAATTTTATTCATACACTTTGTATAATGAGGTGTGTTACTTATTCTGATAGGACGATAACACCAATCTGCCAAACACAGTCTGAGCCAACAAGATAATATCTGGTCAGGCCTATTTTTCATTAAAAAAGGTCCACATAAATTATCCCAGTCTAAGCCACGAGAAACGAAAAAAAAAAGTTAGTTTTATTTCTCTTGTTTATCTAAATTAATGGTAATCCGCTTGTGCCCCGATTCAAGGGGGCAAAATATGTGAGTTCGTTTGATACGTGCATGATAAAACGGGTGACGGCACTAAGAGTGCGCTTGATATATAACTAATGTTAGTGAAAAACTATAGTAAACGGAACAGACTATCAGAAGTCTGGTATTAGAAAAACTGCTTTCGACACATTCGTGCTTCCTCTTCAATCTCACGTTGTCTTCTGAAAACAACTGGTTTTTCACTAATTGCTATATACGATATTGTGTTTGTTTATTATTATAACTAATGTTGTCTATAGCGAGAAATTACGAAGTTTAATTTGACTGTATGACTTTCCTAGTCCTTTAAAAAAACACTCCAAAATGGCATATTTCCAGCCTTAAAATAAAAGCGTTGGAAGAATTTAATCGGTTTCGATCGTGATTTATATTCAACAATACGATGGGCGTTTTTCTTTTTCTTTTTTTTTCTTGTTCTTGTATATTAGTTTTCAAATGTGTCTTTTACGGGTCTGTTGAGCCAAAATTGAACTTAAATGTTATAAAGAATCCAAAACAATATACAGACTTTTCTTTTTTCGACTATCAGCGAAAATCAGATTATTCCTTTACCTAACTTACTGCAGAGTAAGGTAAACAATAAATATTTCAAATTAATCAGTCAGTACAATTCTTAATTAGAGACCTATTTAGCAATTGCCAGCATATTAAAATGATTATCTTATGATTGATTGTAAACTGTCTGATGTACTGTTGGGCCAGACGTGGCTAGAGTTATTGTGTTGGACAGCGGATCGAAACATGATTCTACTGAAGCCACTCCGCACTTTCAGATGTGGGCGCAGTAAAAGAAGTGGCAGTCAATCCAGTTATTTAAGAGCTGGAAAATCTCCTTGTGGCGGTGGGTGTTGCTGGCTAGCTGCCCTCTTTTTGGTCAGTAGTTTATAATCAGAGACATGTAAACACGAAACCTAGAGGTCTCTGACATGGTCGTTTATTCCATATGCGCATAAGGTGCAATTCAAGTTGAAAATTACAATTTTCTAATCTACTGCTTATGATTTTTTCTAGTATATTCTAAAACTTGTTCATTTGACCTATTGAGAACCTTCCAGAAAATAGGGCAACTGGAAAACAGAGTACGCCCAAGAGACTGATTAAACGCGGTTATAAGAACCGTATCGGCATAACAGAAAGTAGAATAAATAAAACTACGTTTATCAAAGTTTATATATTATGCAAATAGTTCAGCAATTGTTTAGATTCAATATCAGTAGACTGCTTTTGTTTGAAATTAACGTTTGAACAAGACAATCTTAGTTTATCCCCATGGTGACAACATTTACCAGCAAAATTGTAAACGAACATAGTGAATGAAGTTTATTCTATGAATATCTCCGTTCTCAGGAATGTTGATCTTTAACCTTTCGTCTATTTCCAACATTTCACATACAAACCCCTAAACCTTTTTTAATGAATTACGTAAAGAAAAAACAAAGAGGGAATCCTCAATAGCTGCGGCAACTGAAATTCTTTTAGGCAGGATTGGAGTAAATTAATATATGAGACCTGTTTTTTTTTTCTTTTTTATTAGCTGTATTTTTGTGCGTCAGCAATACCAAGCGTGGGGCGCGCATATACCCGATTCAATTTTATTACTCATCAAAATCTCTACCAGCCTACCCTCAAATTGAAATTCTTTTAGGCAGGATTAGAGTAAATTAATCTATGAGACCTAGGACGTGGTCAAAAACATAAAAAACTAAAGGGTTTGACCTCCCGAGTCCAAAACTGTGATTAGATATCAAATCAGACAAGAGATGAAGGAGCAATGAGCTAAAGGTTTGTACTTGAAATACTCAGAGCCATTTTATGAGCCGTTATGCCAAGTTATAGCTCTGTAATGCAGATTACCCAGAAAATATATCAAAGTTGGGAAGTTATTCAGTTTGACCTGGAGGAAACTTCAGGGGTTCTTGACTCTTAAAATATTTATCTATATATATATACAGATTGCTAACAGTGCAGTACACATATTGTATTATATTAATTAATTTAATGTTTTTTGCCTATTATAAAATTCATTGTAATGAACTGCCCAAAACTTAGGTGAAATCATTCATTATATTTTTAATAGAAAACCTTAATAGTAATTATTTGGATTAACTGTAATACTGATGGTATTTTTGGCTAAAGTTCTTTAAGTTAATAAAGATCTTGTAAAAAACAGCCATGGTTTCACAAGAAAGGTAGTGCATAAATAATTTAGTAATATGTGTCTAAAATGGTAATGGGAACCATACAGATCCCCATTCATAATTCCAAAGTTAAGATAATGAATAACATGAATCATAGACCTAGGGGTGTCTAGAGCCAGCCCAGGCCCTGGGGTCAGTAATATGATTGGGCCCCCCTTTCATCACTATTTATTAACTTTTGCCGATTTTTCATAAAATAAATTTAGGCGACAAATTTTCTCGTGAATCCATGAAAAAGCAGTAGCCATTTTAGCTCATTGAGTTGTATGCATTTCTAGTAATCTTTGGAATATCCCACTGCCGGGCACCTCAACAGACCCTGGGCCCCGAGGCAGCTGCCCCTCTCTCATCAGTCCTGCATATACCCAAAAAATTTAAGTTCTAAATATAAAGTTACTATGTCTATTTCACAAAACTTGTAAGGTGTTCATAATTAACCATAAAACAAAATTGATGATAGAAAGGGTGAAAATACTTAATAAAATGAAAGGGTTTGAGAATAGTAAATATTCCACATCCACTAAGGATCAGGTTTCCAAAAATGGATTAGATCACTTATAAAAAAAAAAATATCCAAAACAAGCACAATTAAGGTCATTATCTGAAGTAACTATACAACATATTCACAAGAACTAGAGAGTAGAGTCATGTATAAAGATAGTTAGATAATCATATACAAAAGCTAGAGAGTAGAGTCATGTATAAAGATAGTTAGATAATCATATACAAAAGCTAGAGCAGAGTCACTGGCAAAGATGGTTAGAGAAAATAAACAGTGCTAAAGCACTCACATACAGAGCTAGCAAGTACAGTCACGTGAAGTCATTAAGAGAGTAGTAGTAGCATACAAAATAGCTACAAAGTAGCCACATACAGAAAGGGGCTATAGTGTAGAACCAAATACACATAAAGATAGTCACATACAAATAGCTAGAGAGTAGTCACATACAAAGATAGCAAGATTACTCAGATATAAAGATAGCTGGAGAATAGTCGCATACAAAAAACAGCTGGAGAAATGTCACATACAAAAACAGCTGGGGAATAGTCACATACAAAGATAGCTGGAGAATAGTCACATACAAAAAACAGCTGGAGAAATGTCACATACAAAAACAGCTGGGGAATAGTCACATACAAAAACAGCTGGAGAGTAGTAACAAAGATAGCTATAATAGTCATATACAAAAAAAAGCATCAAAATAATTAGATATAAAGAAAGCTACAGAGCAATTACACTAAAACAGTTTGTTTTTAAAGCAAAGTCGCATTGGGCTATCTGCTGTGTCTACCTCAGGGAATCAAACCCTAGATTTTAGCATTGTAAGTCCGTAAACTTACGACTGTTCTATTGGGGGACTCGCATTCAGAGACAGAGTAGTTACATACACAAAGATCTACATAAGTATATTCAAATGCAGAGCAGCTACAGAGTATCCAAAAATAAAGCTATAAGATAAAGTGTCAGCAATTACAACTGCAGTTTCTCTTCCCAGCACTAAGTAATCAAATAAAAACATTAACATATCACCACCTTTGGATCAATATTTAATTTAGATATTTTAACTTAACTAAAAGATCTCTGATAGCCCACTATTTTATAATAGCCCTACAATCATTCTAATGTGAACTTCTCACATAAATAGTTCATAAACACATCTCATGCTAGCAAAATTGCATTAATAACTCAGTTACTGAAATTTTAATTTTCTGACATTGGTGTATGACATAAAGAAAAATTTGAAAATTGATAGTCTTGAGTTTCTATTTAGAGATTAATGTTATAAGTTATTCAGTAAAGATATATGTCCTCTTTTAGTTTTGCAAAATGTGTTTATTTTGATTAGCCCCTGAAAGTACACTTATTATATTATTAAAGTGATAGGATAATAAAGTAACTAAAAGCCACATTAAAAGCTTCACTTAACAGATCCGAGTTCTTACATATAATGTTTCATACAAAATGTCCTCAGTTGTAAATAATAAAAAAATTGATGCACTAAACCTCTAAACATGGAGGTGAAAGTTTATTATTATTACAAACACTGCCACTGATATTTTCAACTCCAAACATGTTCTGCTGAGTCTACTGAACTTAATATAAACAGGATTTGAAATTTTAATACTAAAATTGTAAGATGGTATAATTTGCTAGGACAATATTATTGCAGCTTGTAATTGTAAACAAAAAAGGGGGTTGCATTTGTAACAATTAGTGACATAAATGGTAAATTTTTGCCAGCTACATCCTATCAGATCTGTTGATATATATATATATATATACTATGCTCATTGTCTGCTATCAACTAATAATAGTTAGAAAATACGAAAAACACTTACTTCAGGACTAATCATTGAAAAATATCGATGACCAGAAGACCTTCGATACAAATAATAAATACTGCCAGGTATTTTGTGAAAATTACAAGCTACATGATGAAGATCAAAGTTACTCTTAGCTTCTTCCAACACTTTTCTGGCTTGCTCTTGTAAGAACCTTACTTGTTCTGCAATAACAGTTAACTTGCTACAGGCATTGGCTTTAGTGAAACTGTCAGCCTGTTAAAAAATTAAAAACTAAATGTGATACATTTTGTGGGAATCAGAATGAAAGATTACTTGAAATCATATCGAAGTTAAATATTGATTAACAATGATGTTATTTATTGTACTGAACATTAATGCAATAAAAATCAAACAAAAACAAAAAGCTTTTTAAGCTCAATACTTAACTAAGGTCATTTTATGACAATTAATTTGCACATGTTAATGTATGGTTGTTAAAATGTTAAGTGTTTATAATTTATCAGGCTATAATAAAATTGTTTTAATGACTTTACTTAAAACAAAAAGAAGCCCCTATTTCAATTTGTATATTTATAGTTGTTCCAATTCTCATACCTTCAATTGACAAAACATTAAATAGTGTAAAAACACATACATATATAGTTTTGAGCTCTGTCAGCTGCAATTGACTCCTTGTAGTTGTACACAATAAATCATCAGTTCTAGTTGAGAGGAAAATGTAACCATTTTAATAATCAAAATGCTATCAAAACTACTGCGACAACATAAAACTTGCAATGTGTTACTCAGTTAACCAACAATAGAAATTCAGAAAACAGGAAAAAAATCTATATAACTGGTGTATAACATTTTAAATTTAATGACTATCAAAAGACCATGTTATGTTTGCAATGCAATACTAATGTACATCGTCAACTGTTTAATTTTTCCTATGTGTTCAGACAAAGTTATATTAATCTAGATTTCCATCAATCAAATAGTAAAATTCTACTTGAAGGTATATAAGGAAATTTTCTATTACAGTTGTGGCTATAAAATTATGAATCTTTATTGTACATAAACATAAAAGTATAAAACTTATGTACATACACTAGTTTTTACATTTCCAAAATCATTAAAAATAAGTTATAATTTAAAACAGTTTCTATTAATTTTTTTCAAAACATAAGCCTTTTTCTCCAAACCCTCATATAACTGATGTTTTACTAAAATAAGCTTATAATTAATCTTAAACTGTAAAAAAACAGCATTGCTTAAGTTTAAAGTATACACACCCATACTCATAAATACAAATATTATAAGTGTTTAATATAAATATAGCTGGTAAGAAGTGAAATGTAGATAATAAGCCAAACACAAAAATAATTATTTCTGTTTTGTTAGATACACTTACTGTTTGTATCTGTTGAGCTAGTTCCACAAGATCTAGATGAGGCTTGGCTGATGACTGTGAACACTCTACTAGCTGAGCACCACCAACATTTTGTGCAGTTTCCACCAAATTAACAGCAACTGGCAAAAAATCAAGTATAACTGATATCAATGCTTATTTTGTCTCTCAGATAAATTACTAATATTACTTTTATTTTCAAAGAAACAAAAAAAGAAGATTGTGTCATAGTCCAGCCAGCACGGACTATAAAAACACTAGGAAAGACCTGAATGCACAGGGATAATATAACATTTGAGGTACAACAAGGAGCCCCTTAGTCCATCATGGTTGCCCCATTCATTTCATCAAACACACATCTACCTCTATCCAGTCGATTCCCCAAGTATTGATCGAGATTTAAGACCTCTCTTGAACTTTCCTAATCCTGCTGAGTTTGGCAATCTATTCCAAAAGAATGATGTTTTATTATGTTAAGTTGCTACTAATAAGAAAACAGTTCCTAATCAATTAAGTATTTTAGTATCCTATCTATCTTTGTACTTTTTGTGTATTGTTATATTAGTAAGGAGTGAGTTGATACACTGAAGCAAATGAAATACTATGCATTCATTTATAATACTGAATTGTTAGTCAGTTGTATGAAATGTAGTCTACTGTATATTTGCATTTGTTAATATTATCAAGATGTTGAAAGCATAAAATATTACTTTTTACAAGCAAAACTGCTATTTATATAATATCTTTAACTCTCTTTCTGAACTCTATTTTGAGTCTGTTCTTGCCCTTTTATGAACTCTAATCAGCTTATTGCATATTAAGCAAGGGCTTTGTCAGTTAGAGCCTAGGAAAGTGTAGTTGAAATGGTTTTCATGCAGTTTGCTTGTGGAACTAAGCTATTTTACAATATATTGTTAAAATTTATAAACAGTCTTAAAAAAGAAAGATTCATCAGGATATACCAGATAAAAAAATTAATGCTGTTTTGAACACATTTCTACTTTCTAGTAATACTTAATTTTTAAACTAGGTGTAATCTTTACACCAACTCTCAAAATCATTAAATAAATATTTGCAGCAACCCTATCAATCTAAATGCTCCAATACATACTGGGACCTCTTAAAAGTTTCTTACAAGCACAAACAGTTTTCTCAATACTGTCCAAGGTTATTCATTGTTTGTTCACTTATAATTCTAAACCATTATGGTGTCATAAATACTAATACTACTGTATTTTCTTTTTAACTTTCCTCCCCTGTCATTAAATATATATATATACACAAATAGTAGATCTTTCAGAAGCTTATTTTTTTTATTTTAAAAATAATTGAACTGCACAATAAAATCATGTTTATAAACATATGTTATACTTCAAGATCACTCTTGCAACACATTCTATAGTACTCTGCAAGATATTAGTTTTCTTATCATGAGGGTCTACTGATAAAGCTCTCCTTAATTTCATAATTCACCCTTGTTTGTTTTCAACTTTCAAAGGACATTATATAAAGTTCAAGAGGGTTAAGTACTTGCTTTATATGAATGAAAAATTTACAAATTACAGTAGAATGATTTTTCAAAAGTCTGTTTTGGGAAAGAAATAATATTGATAATAACTAAGTCAAAAAGTATCTACACTCACTGATAACTTAAGTGACAGAAGTTAGTAACAGATCACAAACTTTGGGGATATGTTTCAATATTTATAAGTAAGAAGTCAATTGGGATGTAGAAACTTGGTCACCTTAGACTTGCCTACTCCTCGCGTGAGGGGTGTACTAGTATTGTGGAGAAAGAAGAAGATTTGGATGTTATTTTTAAAAACTTGAATTCCTTATGCAAATTAAATATAATTATTTATCAATGGTGACAAAATGGTTGTAGAATAGTTGAATCAATTTATACACATTTTATAACACAGTTTTTAACTGCTTTGTGTGACTTTTTGTGAAAATGCACTACTATATTCAATTGTTTTTGGAGGCTATTGGATTGTGTAATTAATAGTACTCTGACCAGAAGGCAGCCTTAAGTAAATGAACTATATATATAAAAGCTAAAATGAATGAAAGTCAATAATTAACAGAGCTAATTCTATTTAACAAACTAACAGAACTAAATGTATAAAGCATTAAGTATAAATAAATAAAACTAAACTTATAACATGACTATAATGTACTGATTTAGTGATTATTACTATTAGATAAGGTTAAACTGAGGCAAAGTACCGATCCTTGTACTGAATAGTACTAGTAGTATCAACGATACAGTTTTGGCCATCAAACTTTTATTAAAAGTTTTAATTTTTTATCAAAATTATAATTACTAAAGTGTTTATTTAATCAGATTTATGTTTTTTTAATAACATTGTAAATGAACTAAGTAAGACGAAGAGTAACTGTAACTCGTAAGTACCATGACATTACTGTTATTACAAATGTTACCTAAGTAGCGGTACAACTTGTTATAACATATTATTATTAATATGATACGGTCACATACAAAGGTTTAAACTGTTAAAGTAAAGTAAACTTAAGAAATAGAACCTAAAAGTTCAATATCATTATCAGGTGATGCTACGTTAATAGTGGCGAAATTTTGTATCCTGTTACATGTCCTTCGCTTTAGCTATTTATTGTTATTATTATTAAACTTAGCTAAGTTAATGTTATAGTAACCTAGATTATAAGTGTCAAAAGTGTAATTTGGACTGTAGTAACAGTGTAACTTGTAAGCACTAACTCAGTAACTGTGTAGAAATAGAATTAACATCATTAATATTAAGGAGTAGAGTCAAACGTTTCTTGTTTTGAGTATTCACGACTTCCATCTTAAACAACCAAGTAATCTCACTTTTTTCTTACACGTATGATGTAGTGATATTAATATTATGTTGTTTTGTTTTCTTTAAAAAAAAACTCCAATATTAATATCATCACTTTTCTTACACGTTACGCAATACTTTACATCTAATACAAACATATTATACGAATGTGCTGCCACATATAAAGCTTAAATGACAAAACAAAAGAGCAAAGAAAAAAAAACAAAAAAACAAAGCTATTCATTCTAAATTGTAATAAATGAAACTCAAACGCTGGTTATAATTATCAATCGTATTGCTTATTTCTGAATAATATATATATATATATATTATTGAAGCAATGAAAACGGTGTTGTGCGCTTTAGAATGGCTACATAGCTTTTTGGTAAGTTACTTTCAACTATATATTGTTTCTAATATGAT